TTGTTAGGCTGATGCATGATTCTCCCTGGGGCAATCTGGTTTGGCATTGTCTGTGTAACCCTGACTCACTTGGGCTCATTCTTAGGTCAGGAGGACTGTGTCACAACGCAGAGTAGGTAAGTTATAAGGTGGGAAAAAGGATTCCCTAATAAGCTTTTCCACTGATTGATTCATTTGAAAAGCCTGCTCTGTGCTTGGTTTCATCCTGGGTATGGCTGAGCTGCTGATTTTTTTCAGGTGACCAGAAATGGTCTCTCATTCACTCTGAGTTTTTCATTTTCTGATTTCATATTTTAATTTCTAATTGTTCATTTTTTGTTTTCTAAATACTTTAATAGCACCATTCTTATATCACAGATACAGTCTCTCATACTTTGAAGATATTGTTGATTAAGACAAGTTTGCCTGACACTGTCTCCTTTTATCAAATCGTTTTGTCCCCCTGTGTATTTATTTTGGCCTCAATATTCCATATCAGATATTTTTCTTAAATGTCTGGTATTTCTTGGCTGGGCATTCATGTCTAACTAAAAATCCTACTGAAAGTTCTGGGGCACTTGTTGATTATGGACTTCACCAGAGGATGACCAAGCTGGGTATTTTCATCAGCAGGATCTTCAATGTCAGTGTTGTTAGATGTTTTGTCTTTTACTTTGGAGGGAGAAAACTCTTCAGGTGATCTAAGCCTGGCTGCCAGAGCTCTTAGTAGAAGAGAGGAGCCTAGAGGTCTCAATATTTAGTGATTGAACTTCCATTTGATTCTGCTTTAGATCTGGTACTCAGTATCACCTGTGCCTGGTGTCATTCTGTACATAGAACCTCTGTGTCTCCAGATAATAAATTCTTGAACCTTCACTCATGAAAGGCATTCATCTGGCCATAGAGAAAGGGGAGGGAGACTGATACCACATAGACTCTCAATCAGTAGCCTTGTTTTGGGTTCGTTTCACTCTCACTTCCAGAGGTACCTGGTGCTGCCAATTCTTCAGCCTCTGGAGTGAGGGAATTCCTAAATTTATATTCTACTGACTTAGGGTTTAGCTTTCTTGGGTCTGCTAAGTTAGTTACCATTCTTCCATCTGCTTTTTCACTTCCAAAATATTTTTTACTGCTGCTGCTTCTATTCTTTTTGTCCCTGTGAGTATATGCTTTAACATTTTTATTCGTTAACTCTGGTTTTCATGAGGAACAAAAGTTAACGTATGCTTTCAGTTCACTTAGAGTGTGGTGGATTTCTGAGTTTCGAGGGTAAAATAAAAATCTTGTAAAAAAATCTTGTAAGTATCATAGCTAAAAAGACAACCTATAACTTAAATAAAAGACAATTAGGTTTTGAGCTTGTCTTTTGAAATATGGAGAGAAAACACTGTTTATAGAATTCTCTGTCTAGCCAAACTGTCATTCAGGTGCAAGGCAAATAGAGATGCACAAGGATTTAGGTTATATGTCAAACGTGTCTTTCCTGAAAATAGTACTGGGGGATATACTCCAATCAAATGAAAAATGAATTAGCGTGGAGAGCTCAAGAAAGAAGACAAAGTATGTAAGAATACATCTGGCTATGAGATACCAAATAAATGTAGCCCACAACAAAAAGAAAAAGTGATAGAGGCACCTGGGTGGCTCAGTGGTTGGGTGAATGCCTTTGGCTCAGGTCATGATTCTGGGGTCCTGGAATCAAGTCCTGCATCAGGCTCCTAGTAGGGAGCCTGCTTCTCCCTTTGCCTATGTCTTTGCTTCTCTCTCTGTGTTTCTCATGAATAAATAAATAAAACCTTTTTTTAAAAAAAGAAAAAGTGGCAATACCAAAACCAAGCAAAGTATTCAAGGCAAAAATATTAAATGGGACAAACCTGCATGTTTAATCATGATAAATAATGAAATCCATAAAGAAGTAAAATAACAATGACAAACTCCCTCAATTATAATGGAAATTCTGAATGGACTTTTTGAGAATTTGACAGATAAGGCTATATAAATAATTATTTGGAGGATTTAAATGGGTATATTTTACTCCATATTATTTTCAGATACTCATGGAACACTTATAAAAGTCAATCCTCTAAGAAAATCTCATATAAAATGTCCAAGTTTAAAACATCCTACGTAGAAAATTTGAGGTCACTTTTTCTAAACATAGTACAACAAAACAAGACATTAACAAAAGGCTAAAAAAAAAAAAAAAAACAATAAAAGGCTAGTCCCAAAAACTAAGTACTTGGAAATTAGGAAGTACACTTCTAAATAGCTCTTGGATCTAAGAGAAAGTCATGTTTGAAATTATACAGTTTTTAGAAATTACATAGATTTTGATATAGAGTTTTTATTATAATATTGTCAAAGTACCGGGTTGGAACAAAATTTATAACTTTGCTTGTGATTTTTTAAAAATGGTTTATTATTTTTTTTTAGAGAAAGAGCACACATGTGAGAGCAGGGGCATGCACAGGGAAAGAAGCAGACTCTCCATGTCTGGAAAACACTAGATGGTTCATTATGGATGATGATGAATGGAGTGTGTGAGGGGAGACTAGCAGAGAATAGGGCAGATGGGATTGCTTTGGTGTGGCCTGAGGGACTTTGAATGCAAAGCTAAGCTGCTTGGACTTGACCCTGCCTGTGAAGAGCCACAGAAGGTTTTCTCTGAAAGTCAGATTTACAATAGTATAACTACAATACGGTAAAAGTCACCCTTTTCAGGAATATAGTTCTGTGAGTTTTGACAAATGCCATTGGTCATGTAATCACCAAGACAAGCAAGATGTAGAATATTGCCATCAGCCAAAGGGTTTTCCTGTGCCATTTGTAGTCTATCTCCTCCCCCAGCCTCTGGCAACTACTGACAGGATTTCCATCCCTATAGTTTTGCCTTTTCCAGAATGTTGTATAAGTGGAATCGTGCCATATGTAGAATTTTGTAGCTTTTCTTTTATTTTTGCATAATGCTCTTGAGATTCATCCATGTATTTGCACGTAGCAGTAGTTCCTTTTTAAGCTGAGTTCTATTCCATTGTATGGATGTACCACAGGTTTGCAGTTTTTTAAAATGCATTTACAAGGTGAGCAACATCTGGAATGTTTCCAGATTGGGCCACTTTGAATAAAGCTGTTATAAACCGTCACATACAGGTCTTTGTGTAGACACATGCTTTGTTTATCTTTGGCAAATATCTACTAGGATTTCTAGGTCACGTGGTATGTATAACTTTATAAGAAACTATTTTCTGAAATGGCTGTACTATTCTGTATTCCCACCAGCAATGTATGTGGGCTCTACTTGCTTCATATCCTTGTCAGTATTTGCTATTGTCAGTTTGGGCTTCCCCTCCCACCCCGATGTTAGCCATCTTGAGAGGTGTATCTCCTTGTGGCTTGAATTTGCACTTGCCAACAAGATGTTGGACATCTTTGCATGTGCTTCCTGGTATCTCTTTTTTGGCACATTTGAAAAAAAGGGTTGTCTGTTTTCTTCTATTAAATTTTGAGAGTTATTTATATAATCTAGGCATCCATCCTTCATCAGATATGTGTTTTGCAAATATTTTCTCCCATATACTCAGAAGGGTTTTAGTAGGAAATAACTTGGGTTTTTATGATGTGCTCTGGGGCAGTGGGATGGGGACAGAAACAGGGAGGCTGTTCTCATGGTCAGGGAAGAGCTTTGGCTCTGAGCCAGACCAGGGGCAGTGGGATGGGGGAGGACTGAAGACCCACTAGATGAGAATTAAGGCCTTTTTTTACCCTGGTGAGTCCTCCCTCCTACCTTTCTTCCTTTGACAGATATTTGTGGAGCACCTATTAAGCCCAAGTAATAGTCTGAGCATGGGGGAAACATCCATAAATAAATCAAGTCTTGCCCTTCCCTTGTAGAGTTAACATGTTGGCATGGAAGACAGACAATAAACAAACACATAAATGTGTATGATGTAATGACTGGTAGATGCTGTTTGATACACAAAGCAAAGGGTTCTTCTTGAAATGCTGTCTTCTAAATGGCTCTGGGGATGGAACTGGAGTCTTCAGGGATTTCCTTTGGAGAAAAGAATCAGAACAATGCAAGGGATACTAGACTGAGGTCAGGAACTCTGGGCTGGAAGTCTGGCCCGGACTCTGGCCACCAGGGTAACCTCAGGCAAGTTCTCTCCTCTCTCTGGCCTGCATCTCCCTCTCAGAGTGGCCTAGATGATCTTTCAAGTGCTAGGATTTTGTATTTGAAGTTCTTACAAACCAGCTTGGGGCTCTGATGAACCTTTTTAGGAAGGAATTTCCTTTTTAGAAATAGGTTGTTTCATTGCTGAAGGCCATCATTTGTTTTAAAGATTTTATGTATTTATTCATGAGAGACACACAGAGAGAGGCAGAGACATAGGCAGAGGGAGAAGCAGGCTTGCTGTGGGGACCCCGATGCGGAACTCAATCCCAGGACCCTGGGATCAGGACCTTAGCCAAAGGCAGACACTCAACCCCTGAGCTACCCTGGTGCCCTGAAGTTCATCAATTTTGTCCTCTTACCCAATGTAGAACCCTTGGGAAGCAGGACCAACAGGTACCTTTTCATCCCCCTTTGGATGCCCCCAGGGATAAGGGTTCACTTCCTTCTAAGGGATTGGTTTCATTTTCTCTTTCTCTTATCTTTTTAAAGGGAAAGGATCACACCTTTTACTAAGGGAAGGTGTCCTCCAACAGTGGATTACAATTCAGATTCTACTTCTTAAAGCTGCATATGAAGGACTACCTGTGATGACCAGAGGGCCCAACAGCCTGGAGACAAATTTGGGGATGGGAGGGTAGGAGTGGGAATCGGGAGGGTAGGGAGGATCTTAGAGAAAGGACACATGGGAATGCCTGGGAGAGGGGAGAGATATGGTGGGATCACTTGCTGGAGACATCTACCATGATGTCTGCTGGGACATCTGGGGCCAGATATCTTTTGATATGAAAGATCAACTATCCTGAGAATTCAAATTAGCCAGTGGCATGAACATGGGAGCCAGATAGCAGATGGACTAATGAAGCGGAATGTGGTTGACACTCTTGGAAGCTCTTCTATTCTAAAGCCAACTTGCATGACTCCCTGATTATTAAAATCCAAAAAGAGGCAGAAAAGTGTAGCATATGTCATAAGACAGCTGTAGGCCTCCTTCAGGAACTCTCTGTCTCCATCCCAGGATGCTTCTGGAAGCTCAACAGGGCCTAACATGATTTAAGAGGAAGCTGCTGGCCCCCAGCCATGTGCAGCCATGGGGAACAATCAGTTTCACCCTTTGGAGTTCAGCCTTGTGGGCACACTAGTCTAACCCAAAGAAGGGTTAGTGGGGTTGGTCACAATGTCCTGAGCTACTTACTTCACTGTTTTTTGTTGGTGAGAGATTGTGTAGGGTGGCAGGATTGTATTGTCCCTATGTCCCTAGAAAAAAAGGAGGCTGGAACATCACAGCCTCAGCCACAAAACTCTAATAATGATGAAAAATACTCTTCAGAGTGTGAGTGCCTTATGAAAAGTGGTTACTTTCTCACTCATGGCAAAATGACTGTCTTAGAAGAAGTAAAACTGTCTTTATTCTTAGATATGTTGCCTAGGTGAAAAAAAATCCTGTGAATTCTCAAAAAAGCTGATGAACCAAAATAGGTGCAAATAGATCTGAACCAAAATAGGTGCAAATAGATCTAATAAATCAACTCAGCATATTTTCAGGAAATAATATAAATATATCAAAATGAAATATATCTATATGTGATAAAAATTAAAAATCTAAAATGCCATTTATAGTAGCCTCAAAACTATGAAATATTTAGGTATATGACAAAAGAGCTACGAGATGTTTACACTGAAAACTACAAAATACCTCCCAGAAAGATTAAAGAAGACTTAAATAAAGGAGAGATATACCATTTTCATGGATCAAAAGACTCATTGATGCTAAGATATCAGTTCCCCACAAATTCATCTGTAGATTCAGTGCAATATCCATCAAAATCTCTAATTCTTTTAAGTCAATAACTGATTGTAAAACATAAGGAAATACAAAAGACATAAAGTAGTCAAAACAAGTTTGAAAAAGAGGAACAAAGCTGGAGGAATAACATTACTATATTTCATAGCATGAAATTGGTTTCAAGATAAACAGATTAAAGGAACAGAATAGAAAATGTAGAAATAGACCCACACACCAGTGGACAACTGATTTTCAACAAAAATGCAAAGATAATTCAGTGGAAAAAGAATAATCCTCTCAATAGATGGTGCTGGAATTATTGAATATCAGTATGCAAAAAAATGAACTGTGACTAATGACTCAAATCATATACAAAAATTAACTCAAAATGAATCATAACCCCCAAAATGTAAAACCTAAATTAAGAAAGCTTAGGAGGAAAATATTTGGATTTTGGATCATGCAGAAACTTCTTAGATACGAATGTGACTATTTGTTATTCTATAGATCATACTTTGGTGTGGTATGAACAAATCATTAAATTGTTAAATTAGACTTAATTAAAATTAAAAAATTCTGTTTTTCAAAGACACTATTAAGAGAATGGAAAGATAAGCCATAGGCTGGGAGAAAATAATTGCAGATCTTTGATCTGATAAAGGATTTATATCCAGAATACATATATATATATATTCATCATTAAGGAAATGCTAATTAAAACCACAATAAGGTATCACTATGCACCTATTAAAAAAGCTAAAATTAAAAAGACTGACTATGCCTAGTGTTGGTGAGGATGTGGAGCAAATGTAAAGTGATTCAATTACTTTGAAAAAGAGTTTGGCAAAAAACTAACTGTACACCTACCATATAATCCAGTCTCTCCTCTCCTGGGTATTTACCCAAGAGAAATGAGAATGTATGTCCATATAAAGACTGTAATGTTCCCAGCCACTTTATTTGTGGTTCCCCAAACTAGGAAGAACCCAAATATCCATCAACAGGTGAATGAATGAACAACTGTGGTGTATCCATACAAATATCAAGCCTGACCAAATTGTTCGTTTGAACTATGTGCAGTTTATTTGATGTAAATGCTTATAGTTTGGAAGAAAATAATTAACAACTAAATGCAATGTAGAATCCTAGATGGGATTCTGGAAAGGAAAGGAACATTAGTGTAAAAATTGGTGAGATATCCATAAGGTCTGTGGTTTAGTTAATAACAGGATGCCAATGTTAATATCTTGGTTTTGATAATTCTACTGTGGTTATGTAGAGGATGCTAATGTTAGAGGGAGTTGGGTGAGGGGTGCATGGGAACTCTGTATCATCAGTGCAACTTTTCCATAAGTCTAAAATTAATTCAAAATAAAAAGTTAAAAATATATGCAATAAAACTTTTTAAAAGATCTCTTTGCCTTGGAATCTGGGGGGCTCAGTTGGTTAAGTGTCTGGCTCTTGATTTTGGCTCAGGTCATGATCTCAGGGTCATGGAACTGAACTCCACCTCAGGCTCTGTGCTGGACATAGAGCCTGCATAAGATTCTCTCTCTCCCTCTCCCCCTTTCTAGCCCCTGCAGGTGCGCAACACACACACGTGCTCTCTCTCTCTCTCTCAAAAGAAAAAAAAGAAATGAAAAAATGATTGCTTAACCTTATAGAATAAGTATATATTTTTTCAAATATATTTGTTAGTTCTCCTATTCCTGACACTCTGTCAGCATAGAGTAGGTTAGCAGTTTTGGAATGCTTGCCTTTTTGTAAGAGAAACCTCTGTAATAACTTTAAATGAGGCAGTTCCTTTAAGTACGTCGTCTTTAAAAACCAACGAACTTCTATGTGTTTTGAAAGTCAGGTATGCTAAGAAGGGGCCAAAACCAGTGAAAGGTCATCTGGCTGCCATGAAGGTTTTTTTCCATGGAAGGTTGGAAGTGCCACAGGAATCAACATCCCTTGGGAGCTGCCCTCAAGTCTGACTGATGGTGTTGGACTATACACACTCAGTGAACTCACTCCTTGTGGGATGTAGCTCTGAGGTGGATGCTTTACTCACACAATTCAACTCCCGTTGCTCAAGGTGGTAACCTGTTGACCACCTGTCCCCTCTTCTTCATCCACCTACTGTTGTTTTCTTCACCTCCCGAATGAACTACTTGCACTCAAGTTCTTGTCCCAGGGTCAGCTTCGGATCCAGACCCACACAAGCATTAATATTTTTTTCTAGCATCCCATTGTGTCACCTTGCCATACCACTGGTTTGGGCATCTCACTTTGGAGACTCTTACTTTATTTCATAGCAGTAACTGTCCGTTCAGCTCCTTACACACCTACGAGACAGCCCCGTCCAGCCCAGGGCAGCCATGATTCTGAAAGGGTCCTGAGGATGCTGGGCTGTAATCCAGCTCCTTGTGACCTTTGCTCTTTGGCCTGGGAGGGGCTAGAAGAGATGGAGAGCTGAGGTTTGTTGATTGGGCTCTCCTGAGGCATCCCGGTGATCTCTGGGGAAGGAAGGCAGGAGGGCTGGCCATGAGGGCTGGGCTCTTAGCTTTGCCCTGCTTGAGCGAAAGTATAAACTCTGTTATATGTTGGACTAAAAACTTTGGTAAAAACAAAACAAAACAAGAGTTCCACGGCAGAGGAAAGGATTGCCCACCACAAATTCTAGTTCAATCTTTTACAGTAGTCCGCAAAAGACAGCGGTGAACGTTCTGGCATATAAATCTTATAAAAGTCCCATCAGGTTCTAGCACCTCCTTGGGGTTAGGAGGCTAGCAGTTTCTTCGGTTGAATTGGAGCTTCTGCTAAGTTGCGGGAAGCTCTGTACTGCAACTCTAACACCACCTTTAACCTGGACCATAGGCAACATAACGATGAGTGGGCATCGCACAGGGGCAGTCCTGTTGCAGCTAGGTAGCCGGTCACCTAATACCTCAGCAGGAGCAGGCACAGCTGGCTTTCTGCAAGAGGACACAGGCTCAGAGAAGGGACATGTTTACCTAGGTTGCACAGCATTTTTGTTTTAGCTAACATAGTTCTCAGGATGCGACTTTTCTTGGCTGTGCTGGGTTCTCAGTAACCAAGGGTGATGGTCTGGACCATCAAGAACACTTCCAGTGCCTTGTACCTTGAGTCCACAGTGACCCCAGGCACAACAGCCAGGCCAGGTGAGAGGGGAAGCCCCTCCTGTTCAGAGCTCACATCCTGAATCTTAGTAATATGGGCTCCTCACTGCCGACCCTTGGCCTGAGCAAGCCTGGCTCCTGCTGTTGGCCCTGCCATGGTCCTCTGGCCTTAAAGGGAGTTTCACCTTCTCTAATTGACCCTTGGAGCTCCATCCCCGAGCCCACCAGGAGCTCACCCAGAGTTGCCTCATTAGGACAAAAGATACTCCTATCACCCAGGAAATTCCAAGGAATTTAGGAGCTCAGAGTCAGGAATGAGGGTCAAAGGCCAAGTATTAGAATAAAAGATGTTCCTAGTGCTCTTATCGCTTAGGAAAGAACAAAGGTGTCTTAGGAGCCCTGTGCCAAGAACGAGGGACAGAGACCAATATATATATTTTTTCTATTACCTTGCAGTGCCCCATTAAAAAAATTATTCTGTAGGACTGCTCCCTAGGGAGCCCTGTGGGGAGGAGAGGTGATGGACAGCAGGATTCAGCTATTTCCGGGTCCGCTGGGTCAACAACAGTCTTCACACCATCTGTCTTCAGCTGTTCAAGCTGCTATAACAACTTAACGTAGACTGGGTGAATTAAACACTATTTATGTGTCACG